ACAGACTTGTTACGGATCATGTCCCTGGCGTCACGGAGGAAAAGCTCTTTCATTTGCAGTGACATACTAGCTGGCCTCGACATCGCCTTGAGCGGTGGAGCCTGAACACCCTTAGCTCGAGACTCTTCGATCCTAGGCATAATTTCGGCTTCGGCCCTCTTCTTATAGGTAGCAGCAAGTCTCTCTATCTCTTCCATCGGAGCAGTCTGGAGCTCAGAGAGAACGAAGTCAGCAGGGTTGCTGTCTGATGGGCATTCCTTGTGTGCAGTATCCTCGATGAAGGTCTCGAGATCAGTAGTCGGGCCCAAGTACACCATTCTACCGCTAGAAATAACCAGAATGTTATCAAACATAGAGTATATCTCACTTGACGGTTGATGGACTGTTACCATCACGGCTACACCTGACCGAGCCAGGTCCTTGAGAACTTTCATAGTAGTTACAGCAGCATAAGAATCGAGGCCAGAGAGAGGTTCGTCAAGGAATATCATCTGCGGCTTGGAGATGAGCTCCATCCCAACCGACGTGCGCTTTCGCTCGCCGCCGGAAATGCCTCTGATCACGTCGTTACCCACCACGGTATTTTCACACGAAGTCAACTGCAACGAATCTAGGAGATCCGTGACCAAAGCTTTGACCTGCGCAGAAAGGAACCATCTCACGAACACGAAGGCAAAAGCCTCGTATTTAACAGCTTACTTCAGCCTCGCTCTGATCATGCATCCTCAGACGGGCTGACATCTCCAAGATCTCCCTCGGGGTAGCAGTGGCCGTAAGATGATCATCTTGCATGACATACGCTATGTGACTTCGGAAATTGAGAGGATCTTGAACCTTGCCGTTGAAGGAGATTTCACCGTCAAAAGTTCTGCCGTTCCCACGTAGGCTCTGCCGTCCACCCAAAACGTTCATCAATGTGGACTTGCCAGAGCCGGAGGGACCAAGAACAGCTGTGAGCTCTCCTGGACGCACCATTCCAGTGCAGTCAATGAGAACCTTTTTGTCTTTTATACCAAAGTTGACATTAGTCCACTCCAGAGTCGCACCACTAAATTGACAGCAAATGAACTATTAAGGAGACCTCAAAACGACTTACTTCATTTTGGACCCGCTAACGGAGAGCGATCGGAATTTCTGCAGACCAACGGTGCTGTCTTCCGAAAATGCAGTTGAGAATTGAGAAGCCATGACCTTATAAGTAACAACAACTTTCGTAGACCAAAGCGTATACAGTACGTATGATCACTCTGCAAAACGAAACAAACAGTGATTGAAGGAAGAAGAACGACAGACAACGCCTGCCAATGGGGAACTTTTGAGGAGTGTCTACGAGCTTGGAGAGACTCAGTCGAAATCCCAACGTGACTGAGTACTACACCTCTAGCATGAACAGAATTATCACTCAGATAACATAGTAAGGAATTACAGCAGATACGAGAGAACACACTACCCCGTAACGCGGATGGGATAGGGAATATACAGATCGACCGAACGACTCGGTCTGAGGACTAACAGCCCTAAATGTACTGACGCGCTGCTGTATCCACGGCTTAGTACACGTACCGAGCTCTGCGTTTCAGAGCAATAGTAGCCGTGACACGCAGTATTATGAGCATTGCAAATAGAATACCTACATATAACCCAACGAGATCAGAGTGGATGTCGTTGGTCTCATTCAGGCGGGTCATATCGAATCCGAATTCGTTGAAGTAGGCCAAGGAGACAC